TTAACTAAGACACCTCAGTTGCTTCCAATTTTTCACTGTTATTATGCAATACATATCCTTTTATTTTTTTAAGATTTAAAAAAATTTTTATTGGGGAACAGTGCGTTTTTCCAGGATCCATCAGCCCCAAGTCAAGTAGTTGTTTCAATCTAGTTGTGGAGGGCGCACCTCAGCGGCCCATGTGAGAATCAAACTGGCGACCTTGGTGTTATGAGCACTGTGCCCTGCTCTCTAACCACCTGAGCCAACCGGCCATCCCAATACGTATCCTTTTGTGTCTTTTACTATACATAGGCACAATCTGATTCAAATATAAATTAAGTAATGAGATGATCAGGTTATAGGAAATATGATTCTTAAATTTAAGAAGAATTAACAAATTAAACTCCCAAGTGGCTGTGCGAATTCACGCTTTCAGCACCTGTGTGTTGGAGGTTATATTTTCCATACCTTCATTAACACTTGATACAGTGAACCTTGATGTTGCCCATATGACTACCAAGTGGTCTCACCTTGTCACTGTACTTTGTATTTCCCGAATTACTAGTGGGAAATCTCCATTGTTTATGAGCCATATAGGTTTTCTCTATTTGATATGTCTGTCCAAAGCCTTTCCTTATTGATTTGCAGGCATTTTTAAAGATTTCTAAAGAGATCCTAAATACTAATTTTGTCTACCAATCTTTATCCTTTGCCTTCTGTTTCTTGTGCCTTAATACTATTTCTGTCAGAAACGTTTTCCTTAGTTTCTTCTAATGATATAAGATTAGGGGCGAAAACCTATATGTCGGTCTGCTGCCTGTTTTTATAAATAAAGTGCCCTTTCATTGACATCATGGTTGTTTCTGTGCTACAAAGGCAGAGTTGAGTAGTCGTGTTGGAGATATAGGGCCTACAGAATTGAAAATATCTACCATCTGGCCATTTATAGAAAAAGTTTGCCAATCTCTCAAACTTTAATCACCCAAAAAATATTTTTTAATAATTCCAGGTTCCTTTTAAATTGTTTTTTTAAAAAAAGCCTTATTTATAATTTTTTAAGAGCAGTTTAAATTCACAGCAAAATTGAAAGGAAAGTAGAGATTTCCCATATGCCCCTTCCCCACCCACATGCACAGCCTCTCTCCCACTATCAACAGCCCCAAAAGAAGTGTATTTGTTACAACCCATGAACCTACATTGACACGTCATCAGCAGAAATCCAAAAAAATCATCAAAATCCAAAAAAAATTAAGATAGATTAAGAGACCTCTGGGACAACATTTAGTGTAATAACATTCGCATCATAGGGGTACCAGGAGAAGAGAGAAAGCAAGAAATTGAGAACCTATTGAAGAAATAATGACTGAATCTTTCCTAACCTGGCAAAGAAAATAGACATACAAGTCCAGGAAGCACAGAGTCCCAAACAAGATGAACCCAAACAGGCCCACACCAAAACACATTATAATTAGAATGGCAAAGGTTAAAGAAAAAGAGAATCCTAAAAGAGAAAGTCAGCTAGTAATTTACAAGGGAGCTCCCATAAGATTGTCAGATAATTTCTCAACAGAAACTTTACAGGCTATACGGGATTGGCACAAAATATTTAATGTGATGAAAAGCAAGGACTTACAACCAAGATTACTCTACCAAGCAAAGTTATCATTTGTAATTGAAGGACAGATAAAGAGCTTCCCAGATAAGAAAAAGTTATAGGAGTTCATCATCACCAAACCAGTATTACAAGAAATGTTAGAGGGACTTCTTTAAGATGGAAAAAAGTTCAAAATTATGAGTAATAAAATGGCAATAGCTACATATCTATCAACAATTACTTCCATGTAATTCAAAAGACATAGGAGGGCTGAATGGATAAGAAAAGAAGACCCATTCATATATTGTCTACAAGAGACTCACTTTAGATTGAAAGACACACAGATGAAAAGTAAAAGGATGGAAAAACATATTTCATTAAAATGGAGACAAAATTTTTTTTTAAAGCTGGAAAAACAATTCTTATGTCAGACAAAATATACTTTAAAACAAAGGCCATAACAAGAGACAAAGAAGGACCAGTAATCCCACTTCAGGGTACTTATCTGAAAAAACCCAAAGGCTACTTCGAGGGGACATGGGCATCTATATGTTCAGTACAACATTGTTTACAATGGCCAAGATGTGGAGGCAGCCTGGGTGTCTGTTGATGGAAGAACGTATAAAGAGGGGGTGGTACATACTCATATATACAATGGAATATTGCTTGGCCATGGAAGGTAATGGGTTCTTGCCATCTGTGGCAGCATGTATGGACCTGGAGGGTACTGTCCTGAGTGGAGTGTCAGACAGAGAAAGACAGATGCAATGAGATTTTGCTTATATGTGGAATCTAAAGAATAAAATAAACAAACAAACCAGAAACAAACTCATAGATACAGAGAACATATTGATGGTTGCCAGATTGGGGAGGTGGAGGGGCGTTGGGGTTGAGTGAAAAAAGAGAAGGGAGTAAGAAGTATAAATTGGTTATTACGTAGTAATCATAGGGATATAGAATATAGCATGAGGAATATAGTCAATAATATTGTAATAACTATGAATGGTGTCATATTGTTACTAGATTTGTTGGGGTGATAGATGCGATGTTGGGGGCAGGGTGAAAAAGGTGAAGGAATTAAGAAGTACAAACTAATAGTTACAAAATAGTCATGGGGATGTAAAGTGAAACATAGGGAATATAGTCAATAATATGGTAATAACTTTGTATAGTGCCAGGTGGGTACTGGACTAGTTAGGGGTATCATTTTTGAAATGATACAAATATCTAATCACTATGCTGTACACCTGAAATTAATATAAAATAATATTGAATGTCAACTGTAATTGAAAAATTTAAAAAAGGGGGAAAAAGTGAAGGTGAATAAGAGGTTCAAATCTCCAGGTATAAAACAAATAAGTCATGGGGATATAATGTACAGCATAGGGAATATAGTCAGTAATATTGTGATAGTGTGGTATGTTATCTATCAGATGGTTGCTGAACTTATGGTGATCACTTCTTTAGGTATATAAATGTTGAATAACAATAGTGCACACCTGAAACTAAAACAATATTGTATGTTAGCTATATTTTCATAAAAATATTTTTAAAAAGAAATAAATGTTGGTGAGGATGTGGAGAAAAGGGAACTCTCATACACTGTTGTGGGAATATAAATTGATATAGCTACTATAGAAAACAGTATGGAAGTGTTCCTCACAAAATTAAAAATAGGTCTACTATATGATCCAGCTTCTGGGTATATATTCAAAGGAAATAAAAACTGGATTTTGAAGAGATATATGCACTCCTATATTCATTGCAGCATTATTTACAATAGCCAAGATATGGAAACAACCTAAATGCCCATCAACAGATGCATGAACAAAGAAGATATGATGTATATATACATGAAATATTACTCAGCCATGAGAAGGGAGGATATACTTCCACTTCCAACAACATGATGGACCTTTGAGCACATTATGTTAAGTGAGATAAGTCAGGCAGAGAAAGACAAGTACTATATGATATCATTTATATATGGAATCTAAAAAAAGTCAAATTCATAAAAAACAGAATGGTGGTTATCAGGGGATGGGGGTTGAGGGAATAAGGTTGATGTTGTTGGGGCCGGCCGAGTGGCTCAGTTGGTTAGAGCGTGAGCTCTGAGCAACAGATTCGCCGGTTCAATTTCCACATGGGTCAGTGAGCTGCGCCTGAGCTGAGCGCCACTGAGCTGGTAGGAGCACGTGCTCTTAACAAGGTTGCTGGTTCGACACCCGTATGGGATGGTGGGCTGTGGACCCCCTCCCCCAACTAACATTGAACATGGTGCCTTGAGCTGAGCAGCCGTGAGCTGCCCATGGGGAAGCCACATGGCACAGCATGCAACAAGGTTGTGGGTTCAACTCCCGCATGGGATGGTGGACTACGCCTCCCCACAACTAGATTGAAAGTGGCGACTGGACTTGGAGCTGAGCTTGCGTCCTCCACAACTTAGATTGAAGGACATCAACTTGGAGCTGATGAGTTCTGGAAAAACACAGTGTTCCCCTTCCCCAATTCCCCAATAAAAATATTTAAAAGCAATAAAGATTGATGTTGTTTAGGATAGAAACTTGCAACAGGGAGTAAATAAGCCATGGAGTCTAACGCACAGCATAATGAATATGGACAAAAATATTGTACTACAATAATCAAGCTTGCTATGAGGCTAAAACTTAATTAACCCAACCACTAAAATGAAAGAATAATTACGTAAGGTGACAGAGGTGCTAAATATCACTACAATGGCAATCATATTACAATATATAAATGAATCAGATTAACACATTGTGCACCTTAAATTTACACAATGTTATAGGTATGTCAAATATATTCAATTAAAAATAAAATACTGGGCCGGCCGAGTGGCGCGTTGGTTAAGAACTGGCTTGGGACGCCAGAGGGCCCCGGTTCGGATCCCACATATGAGGGCCAGTGACACTGCCCTCCACAGCTAAGATGCTGAACAGCAGCTCAACCTGGAGCTGGGCTGCTGTGAGTCGCCTGTGATGGCATAGGCTGCAGTCCCTGTGGCAGTGGGTTGCCATGGGCTACCGTGTGTAGCCAGCAGCCAGCAGCCAGTGTGAGCGGCCAGCAGCCGCAGTGAGCGACTGTCCAGAAGCCGGCGACTGATCTGCCTTGCCCAGGAAGAGCGCAATGATGGTGCCAACTTGGGCCAGTGAAGCAGCGTCCTCCACAGCTGGACTGAAGAACAAACGACAGCAAAATTGTCTGTTCCCCTTCCCCCAATTCCCCAGCACTGTTCTCATCCCCCCAATTCCCCAATAAAAAATAATCTAAAAAAAAATACTTACATGAATGATAAGTTTGTATCCACCTTTAAAAAAGGGAAAGAAAAAAGAAAAACCACCCTGACTTCTAGCGTTAGCAATCATTAGTTTATTTCAAAAGCAATTGGGTCTAAAAAGAGTCTTCAAAGAGGCTTAGCAAAGTGGTTCCCGCTGAGAAGTTTCCTGAGGGTGCTCTTCAGATCTGGGTTCCGCAGGCTGTAGATAAAGGGGTTCAGGATGGGAGCCACCATTGTGTACATCACGGTGGCTGCCATGTCCCTCTGGGTGGTGTGTGTGGATGTGGGGTTTAAGTAGACCCCAATGATGGTCCCGTAGACGAGAAAAATGATGCAAAGGTGAGAGACACAGGTGGAGAATGCTCTTGCCCCAGGCTGAGGGCACCTCCCACACAGCCACAGCAATAAGTGTGTAAGAGCCCATGATGCACACAAAAGGTGACAGAACCCCTGAGCTCTCAAGGACCAACACCAGCCTCTTGTTGACTTGCATGTCAGAGCAGGAGCGCTTGATCAAGGCATTGAGGTCACAGGAGAAGTGTGGGATCCTACCGGTGCAAAAGGACAAGTGAGTCATCAGAATAGTGTGGACCATGGAGATGAGGTTGGACAAGACCCAGAGTACCACCACCAGCAAGGCACATCGAAGGATGCTCATGATTGTCATGTAGTACAGCGGGCAGCAGATGGCCAGGTAGCGGTCGTAAGCCATAGCCGAGGGAAGGATGCTGTCAGCTGTCCCAAAGGCGATGAAGGAATACATCTGGGCCAGGCATGAGAAGAAGGAGATGGTGGTGTGCCCACACAGGTGGTTCAGCAGCATCTTGGGGATGGTCGTGGAGGTAAAGCACGTGTCAAGAAGAGACAAGTTGCTGAGGAAGAGGTACATGGGGCTGTGGAGGTGAGGGTCTGAGACGATGGCCAGGATGGTGAGCAGGTTCCCCAGGCACCCAATCAGATACAGGCTGCAGGACAGCTCGAAGAGCACCTGCTGCTGCTGGGGCTGCTCAGAGAGGCCGAGGAGGATGAACTCACAGACTCAGGTCCGATTGTCCCTGTCTGGTCAGTTCTAAAACCAGAAACAAGGATGTCAACAGTGGTTGGACTCCCCGGGAGGAAACAAGTCACCTCAATGCTGTTCTCCCACCCACCTTTCCAGGTGCACCTCACTTAACCTCTCTGAGCCTCAGTTTCCTCATCTGTTACATGGGACTAATAATTCTAACCTTTTAGGATCATTATAAGGATTAAGTGAAAAAATATGTGTAAGGGGCTTAAATTCATACCTGACATGTAATACGGATAATTATTTTTATTTGTGAGATCTCTCAGTGATGCTATCAAAATAGTAACATGTTAATTAGCTTGATTGTGGCAATGATTTCACAGTCTACCAAAACATCAAGTTGTACACTTAATTATATACTATTTTTATCAGTCAGTTATATCTCAATAAAGATGGGGGGAAAATAAAACTATAGTAAACTGCCTAAATATTTCCAGGATTTGTTTTTAAAAAATGAAAATAAATAATAGAGTGATTAAAGGCATCAACTATAAAGCCAGACAGCCTGGGTTTAAATCCCAGCTCTGCAACTTACCAGCTGTGTGACATTGGGCAAGTTATTTAACCTCTCTGTGCCTTAGTTTTCCGATCTGTAATATGAGGATAATAATAGTACCTGCCCTAAGGAGTTGTTGTGAAGATGTGATGGGTTAATATGTAAAATGCTGAACCTTAATATTTTTTTGACAGTTAACACCTCTTAGAATAGATTGGTGGTTGCCAGAAATGAGGATTGCAGGGGGTTGGGGGTGTGGGCAAATGGATAAAGGGAGTCAAAAGGTACAAAGTCCAGTTGTAAAATAATTAAGTCGGGGCCCGCCGAGTGGCTCAGTTGGTTAAGAGCATGAGCTCTGAGCATCAGGGATGCCGGTTCGATTCCCACATGGGCCAGTGAGCTGCACCTCCATCTGAACTGCCAACAGGTGGCAGATGGCTCAGCTGGGGAGAGCATGTTCTCCTAACAACAAGGTTGCTGGTTTGACTCCCGTGTGGGATGATGGGCTACGCCCACCCGCATCTGAGATTGAACGCGGCACCTTGAGCTGAGCGGATGCCAGCTGCCAACAGGCGGCTGGATGATGACTAGACTTGGAGCTGAGCTAACTGCGCCCTCCACAACTAAGATCGAAGGACAACAACTTGGCTGTTCCCCTTCCCCAATTCTCCAACAGTGTTCCCCTTCCCCAATTCCCCATAAAATCTTTAAATAAATAAATAAATAAATAAATAAATAAATAAATAAGTCATGGGAGTGTAATGTACAGCATGGTAACTATAGGTAACAATACTGTATTGCATATTTAAAAGTTGCTAACAGAGTAGATCTTAAAAGTTTTCATCACAAGAAAAAATTTTGTAACTATGTAGAGTGACAGATGTTAACTAGACTTATCGTGGTGATTATTTTGCAATATATACAAATATTGACTCATTCTGCTGTACACTTGAAACTAATACAATGTTGTATGCCAATTATACCTCAATTTAAAAAACATCTTAGTGGTTGAAAGCAAGGGGTTCTGGGTCCTGAATGATCCTGTTTAAATGCCATACCTGACACTTTATTAGCTGTGGGAGCCAGTGACAGATATGCCCAAAGCCTCAGTTTCCTGGGAGGAGTAAATGAGACAATGAGTGTGGAGCCCTATAAAAGGATGCTTTTTATAAAAGCACCACTGAAATGTTACAACAATGTATCTTTTACATCAGCCTCCTCTTTGGGCTATGAGAGCACGTACAGATTCATTATATCGTGGGGTAGGTTATTTCCAAAGGGAGCTAATTTCACTCATTTTATGTTTCTTAACATCAGTGTTAGAGACAAACCATCTTATTTGTCCACAAATTCTGGCCCCACTTGCCAAGTGGGACTTGCGTTACCCTGAGCCTGGCCTCTACTGGGCAGCCCACTGACTCTATATCAGTCAGTTTAGGCTAAATTATGCTGCATAACATAGGGTATATGTACAAATCTCAGTGGTTGACAGCAATGAAGGCTTATTTCTCACTCAGGCTATATGCCCATCACATGTTGCTATGGCTGTACTCCAGGAATTCACTCCAGGACTCCGGCCAGAGGCTAAACCTTTGGGAAACTGCCAGTTATCACAGCAGCGGGAAAAATGAAAGATGTGCTGGCTCCTAAGAGCTTCTGCCAGGAAACACCCTCCACATTTCAATGGCCAAGCCTGGTGTCAAGGGAGTGAAGAGATAGAAATCTCCCCCAGGAGGCAGCAGCAAGTGTGTGAAAAATAACAGACTCTCCAAAGCTTTTTGGTTGCCACACTCTTCTACTGGAGGTTGAGGAGAAGAGTGCATGCATTTCTTTGTGAGACAACCTGTCCATTTTTTGTATCGGCAGAGTCCTATGCTCAGAGCCCAGGCATGCTATTTACCCTGCAGTCCACACACTGGATGCCACATTATGCTCAGGGCACATTGGAGCTGTGAAAATATTTATGATACCGGTGGCAGGTGTCTTGATGCAGAGGACTCCGCCATCTTCCACAGTCCCTCACAGGTTTCATTCAATGACTCTGAATTTCTGGCTTCAGCACCTACTTCTCTCCAAACTCCTACTTAATTATCCTGTTGCTTCCTGGACATCACTCCCAGACACCTCCTACCTCAGGCATTCCAGCCTCAAGAGGCCCAAAATGGGTTCTCCACTGCCAGAGCTACCGAGGTTGCCCTGGGCATGTGTACTGCACAATTCTATGGGGTGCACAACCCTAGCCAGCACAACCAACTCCTCTCTCACCTCTCACATCCTCATCGATTCCTAATTTGTCATCCTCATCTCTCAGACAGAAGTAGAAAATGTATTCCCAGAGTGAGCACCCCAATCCAGGCCACTACCGTCTCCCAGCTGGATGACCCACCAGGTGCTCATCTCCGGATCGACACTCTCGTCCCCTGCAATCCATTCTCCATACTACAGCCAAAGTGAAAGTGAAAATGTAGATGGGCTCTTACCCAACTTTACCCTGCCATGGCTCACTACTGCTCCTCTCACTCCAGGCGTCTTCAGCTTCCGTCTTCCTGGCTTTGTCTCCTGCCCAGAGCCTTCCACCTGTCGTGCCTCCTATTTGGAAACCTCTAGCCCCTAGCTTCGCCTCACCTCCATTACCTTCACTTCTGCAGGAATGCCCTGCTTGATCGCCTTCTATTGGGTGGAGCCCAGGGGCTCTCAACCTGGGCACTACTGACATTTGGGGCTGGACACCTTTTTTTGTGGTGGGAACAGCCCCATTATTGTAGAATGTTGAGCAGCATTCCTGGCCTCAACCCACTGGATGCCAGTAGCACCCTTCCCACCCCAGTTGCAACAAGCAAAAACACCTTGAGGTCCGTTGTAGAGGGGTCAAAATTGCCTCCCTTTGAGGATCTAGGTTAAACTCCACCCCCCTCCGCCCCCGAACTCTCTCTTCCCACAACACCTGCACAGTTCAACTAACTTTGAGCAGGACAATGACATTTATTCAATGCAATCCATATTTGAACTAACCACTTGACACATATCATTCTACTGAACCCTCAACACTTCCATGAGGCAGGCAGCTGAGGCTCCAAACTTAACTCCTGCTTGAAACTGGGATCCAGCCAGGCTCTGGTTCTGGTGTCTTCTCTCTTCACCAGCTCCCAATAATGCTGTCTCCCATGAGGCTCTGAAGCAGAGAATCTTAAGTCCTTGTGGGTGAAACTAAGCAGAGAGCCCCCAGCCTCTGAGGGGTACTTCCAAGGAGGTCCTCCCCTGATACCACTCCCCTGCAGCTTGTCTTCCTGATACACATACGTGAGCAATGGCCACTGTACCTCTGTCAGATTCCAGGACCTCTCAGCCCCCAAGTGTCATGTGTGCAGGGGTTAGGGGCTGCTGCTGCCTCAAGTTTGTTTTGTGGCTGTAGAGAAGGAACATGGTTTCTTAGGAAACACACAGCAGAACAATTACCATCAGGTTTATACCAGACTCTCTGACCCCACAGGCATGGTGCCCAGTGAATCTTGTTGGAGCAAATACAATTAGCTCACTTTTCCTAGTGAGGTCTTTGAGCCTAGCAACCCCATGGGAAAGAATTTTGCCCCAAGAGCATTATCTTTCTTCAGACCTGTCTCTCTTAGTTGACAGAGGTATAGCATGGCACCCAATTTTTCCCATGAAGGAGCTTTTAAATAGGTTATTACTAATAATGGTTATAGTGCATTAAATATTTGTTGTGTGGTTGGAGCTGTGTTGAGCATGCAGTGTCTTATAATTCCCACAAAAGCCTGATGAGGATAGAAACTGAGGCTCTCACTTGTCCATCATCACACAGCTTGAAGGGGCAGATCTAGGATTCAACCTAGGTAGTACAGCTCCAGGGAAAAAAACTAATGAACATAAATGGCTCTGAGCATACACATAAAAGATTTTAATACCTGGATGGCTGAATTGTATGTATACAGTCTAATGGTTTCTAGTATATTCACAGTTGTATAACTACCACCATAATCAATTTTAGAATATTTTTATCAAAAATAAACCCTGCATATTTTGGAACTCACCCCCCAACACACACACACACACACACACACACACACTTTCCACTTCTCTCCAGGTCTAAGCAATTACTAATTTTCCTTCTGTCTCTATAGATTTGTCTATTATGGACATTTCATATAGATGGAATTATACAGACTTTTGTGTCTGGTTTCTTTCACTCAGCATATTGTTTTCAGATCCATCCATGTTGTAGCATGTGTCAGTAATTCATTTTTTAAATTGTTGAATAATATTCTGTTAGCACATAATACCACATTTTGTTTATCTAGTCATCCACTGATGAACATTTGGGGTGTTACCACCTTTTAGCTATTATGAATAGTGCTGCTGTGAACATTCACATATAAGTTTTGTTTGAGAACCTGTTTTCAGTTCTTTTGGGTATACATCCAGGAGTAGAACTGCTGGGTTGTCGGAAAAGTCACGACGCATTTTTGCAATGAAAAACATAGAAAAAATACATCATGACTGTTCCAACAACCCAATAGTAATCCTATTTTTGCCAATGAGGAACTGCCAAGCTGGTTTTCATAATGACTGTACCATTTTACATTCTTACCAGCAGTGGACAATAGTTCCAATTTCTCCACACACCTGTCAACACTTACTGTTTTCTGTTTGGTTCTTTTTAAAATTTATAGTCATTCTAATGGGTATGAAGAGATATCTCATTGTGGTTTTGATTTGCATTTCAATAATGGTGTTGAGCTTTTTTTTAAAAAAGAAGTTTAGGTTCATTAATAAGAAGCGAGGGCCGGCCGAGTGGCGCATTGATTAAGAGCTGGCTTGGGACGCCAGCTCTGAGCAGCAGGGCCCCGGTTCCGATCCCACATGCAGGCCAGTGACACTGCGCCCTCTACAGCTAAGATGGTGAACAGCTCGACCTGGAACTGGGCTGCCATGAGTCGCCAGCGAAGGCGTAGGCTGCAGCCCCTGCTGCAGTGGGCTGCCATAAGCTACTGTGTGTGGCTGGCAGCCAGCGTGAGTGGCTGGCAGCCAGTGTGAACTGCTAAGAGCTGCTGTAAACAGCCATTCAGAGGCTGGTGACTGATCTGCCTCAGCCGGGAAGAAGCGCAATGATGATACCAACATGGGCCAGTGAAGCAACGTCCTCCACAACTAGACTGAAGAACAAAAGGATAGCAACTTGTCTGTTCCCCTCCCCCCAATTCCCCAGCGCTGTTTCCCTCCCCAATTCCCCAATAAAATCTTTAAAAAAATATCAGAAGTGAAGGTCTAATGACTACATCTTTGTTTAGCATCTTTTCATGTGCTTATACATGCTACAATGTGGACGAACCCTGAAAACATCATGATAAGTGAAAAAAACCAGACACTAAGGGTAACGTATTACATAATTCCATGTATATGAAATGTCTGGAAGAGACAGAAAGTAGAATTGTGATTACTAGGGGCTGGGGTAGGGGAGAATGGGGAGTGACTGTTTAATGAAGATGGGGTCTCCTTTGAGGGTGCTGAAAATGTCCTGGAGCTAGATATAGGAGATGTTTGCACAACATTGTGAGTGCATTAAATACCACTTAATTGTTTGCTTTCATGATTAATTTTATGTTATGCAAATTTTACTCAATACTAAAAAAGAAATTCAATCTTCCTCATGGTTTAAGAAATTCCAATAAGAACAATGAAATACAACTTTTGGCCTGGCAGACTTGTAGAAATGCACAACATGGATAACACTCGGTATTGGCAAGGGTATGGGGATGGGGGAGTGAGCATGTTCATGAACTGCTAGTGGGAATGAAATTAGTACAACCCTTTGGGGAGAGTAATTGGTGGGTGGAGTTTGTCTTGTTGAAGAACGATTTCTTGAGGTCCTGGATGCCTTAATTATAGCTTCCTCTAGAGTCCAGTGAAACACATATGCCTCAGAGTGTCCACCAAGACCTGCCCAAGCTTCTGAGATGGATTTGCAAATGGCGTCCTCTACCTACTGTGTGTTTTCTCAGGTCATCCAAAAAGTAGATGCTAAGACAGAATGAGACACACAAGGATTTACTAGGAAAGACTCCTGTGAGGGAGAATGAGAAGGACCTGGAAGAGAATGGGAGAGCTATAGACCACCAGGCAGGGCTGACCCCTGTGGAGAAGAGAAAGGAGAGAATATTTGGTAAAAATATCTTAGATCACAGTGCAGTTCTAAGAAAGTTTTGGTAAAGTTGATGGGGATCGCTGGAGCCAAAGTCTCCATCCTAGGAGGCCCATTGCACTCAAACATTGGCCTTGGTGTGAATGCGATGGTGATTTCAGGTTGTCAGTCATTGACGTTCCCCACACTTGTAGGCATGAGAGGTGCATTTCCATGGCACTTCACATACATTCATGTACCCAGAGCTACCCTATACTTTGAATGACTCCTGTGTCAATTTGTCTCAGCTGTCGGACCACATGGGTTTCTAAGCTTAGAGAATGACCATACTGAGTTCAAGGGGGTCTCTGTCACAGGAAAAAATTGTCTCAATTTTTTCACTCCCCTTTTGTGCTTCTCAGGGACAGCATTGGCCCCCATTTCTCCCTTTTGGGGCACTTTTAACCCTCGAGCACACATATAAGATTGATCAGAAGACTCAAGTAGCTCTAAGATCTGTACCTATTCCTTGGTGGCATGAAATTTCTTTCATAGATATGTCTGGGTTATAGCAGCCTGACGGTGGTAACACACTGACTTGGGGGGACATTCGCCATGGACCTAAGATGATTTCAGGGATCTGAGATACAGATTGGTCAACACCACCCTGGAGCCTGAGTTGTGTGTGGTCCTTCGCATGTGCTCTTGTGTGTTCATTTTCTGATGGCATCTCTGGTCCTCAGTTTCCAAGTGGGGAAGGAGTAGTGGCAGAAATCCTTTCCCCTATGCATTCTTTGCTGCTGGCCTCCATTGTGATCTCCCATAGGTTAGCTACAGGCTCTGTACCACATGCTTAGCCACCTACCAGGA